CCAGCCCGAGGAACCGCCGCGGCTCCTCCCTGGTGTTCGGGCCGGGAACGGGCAGCGCCGGCGGGGCCCGGGCTGCAGCCGCCGCGGCCGAGGGGCAGCCCGGCCCGGCTGGTGCCCGCCGCTCCCTGCCCCGCCGCTGCGCTGCCAGCGACAGAACCGGTTCCGCACTGAGAGCACGGCAATCCCCGACCCAGGCGCCCCTGGCTGGAATGGAAATGCCTTTAAATACCCCTGGGTGGAAGAGGATGAGCCTGTTCACATGAAGGAATTAAAATGTTACAGGATTTAATATGCTGCCTAGTTACAGGATTAAGTAGAGTGCCTAAGAATAGCTCCAAGGATCCTTTTCTGTAGACACGAAGCTTGGGTGCTGTTGTTGTTTCTGTTTTAATATTTTGTTCTCTAACTTTTTCAAACTTTAAAAATATGTAAACACTGCTCTCCCTTGCCCCAAAGTGCCATCTGGCAAARCGCTATTTAAGAATGAAAATTATGCACAATACTTCCTACTTCCACAAGCCCTTGTGAAATAATAGGAGAAATCATTTATASAAAAGATAGCACAAAGGTTCTGATCAGACTAGTGATGAGAACGAGAGGCAGACCAGACTGCTTAAAAAATGTGGAGTTTTTTAAGTTGCATGTGGTAATCAAGGCAAAACTACTATTCTAAAAAGACTGTGCTCTTACTAACTCATTTTTTTATCTTATTTCCTGCTATAATATCCTTATTGCAGGATACACCATTAAAAAATTCACATGCTTTAGATAAAATCCTTAGGCTAAAAATTATTGTGTAGTAAGATTATTCCATATAACTTTGCATTCAAGTCTATACATATGTTTGTCTGTTGGATATTACTGTATCACCCATTGGATTTAATCAGATTAAGTGATATTATGAATTTTGTCCCCCCCCCAGTTTTTTTTTTTTTTTTACTAACAGTCTGAAGATCTGATAAAAAATCTCTTCTAGGACAGATTTCATTTGGATGCAAAAGCTGAAGAAGAGCAGACCTTCTCTGCAAATGGGGATCGTGATGAGTGGATAGACTTCTCCAAAATGTGCAATTCCAACCAAGAATATTACTTGAAACTAGAAGAACTGAAGAATGCCCACGTGGAGACCATGGCGAAATTAGAAAGTATGTGTCGGAATAAACTACGCTTAAAAGGAATACAATCCTTGGGCAAAACAGRTGCAGCTTCTAATATATGTTATAGGTAAGTTTCTTCACAATCTTCCGTTTGGTACTGCTTTCTGGTCTTGTGCAGCATGCAGGGGCTTTGCAGACATCACAAGTAGGGCTTTTTCTTTTCTTTTCCTGAAGATGGCAAGTTTCCTTATCATTTCCTAAAAGCAGGTAAAAATCCTTGCTAATGAACTGCAAGATTTACAGTGTGTATGAAGCTGAAAGCAGGCAACTTGTTGAGTAAAGCATGGTACCTTTGTTTAATTAATGCTGATTTGTTCATAATCTAAATTTCTTTAAAAGTATGATCCTTTGTGAATGCCCCATCCTCTTCCCCATCAGCTCTGTCCATTTTGTTCTCATGATGACCCTGGAAGTGGAAATCACTGGCTTTGCATGAGTGTCTGTTGAACTTAACTCAAAACCTTTTTTCCCCCCACCACAGATCAACTTGGAAGAAGAGCTCCTATCAGCCTCTAATTTTGCACAGATCCTTCTCTGAGTCTGACTTAGACGATCCCATAGGTTCAAATGTATCTGATGAGTTTGACAGAGAATTAATGTTTGAAGAAAACGGTAGTGAAACTGGATCATCAGCGTTTGCTAAGCAACAGATTGAAAAAATGTGGGACGGGTTTTCTGTGGAAGACTATGTCCCCCGCACCAAGCAGAGCCTACCGAGCTCGCCAGTGCGCCGGGCGATGGGGAAGCAGCCCAAGGCCTGGTCCCCRAAAGTCACCGTGCCCAAGCCCTTCCAGATGACTATTAGGGAAGCTAGGAAGAAAGAACACAATGTCAAATCAAAGTCACAGCTTGAAATGGAAAATAACTTACTGAAGAAGCGACTCGAGGAGGAGGCAGAGTGTCAAAAAAAGTTCCGAGCCAACCCGGTGCCGGCATCCGTTTTCCTCCCGCTCTACCGTGAAATCGTGGAGCAAAACGAAGAACGTAGGAAATTTGTGAAAGAGAGAAGCAGGCTGATGCTTTTGGCTTCTCAGAAGCCATTTAAGTTCATTGAAAGAGAGAAGCAAAAGAATGAAATTAGGAAAATGCAATTGAAAGACCTTTCTGTGCCTGAAAAGAAAACAAAACCCTTCAAGGCAAAGCCAGTTCCTTGGTGTGTTTACAGTCCAGCTGTTAATGASAAGTTAAAGGAGGAGGAGCTTTACAGGGACATAAGGATCAAAATGAGAGCTGAGGAGCTGCTACGCAACKCATCTCTGCCCAGCAGCAGGCTGGCTGTTAAAGATCTTGGTAAAAAGAAGAAACACAAATGCCTTGAACCAAAGGAAACCGAACACAAACCCAGGATCAAGTCACATGTTCCCAATTTTGAAGTACTACACCAAAAATTTCAGAAACGGCTCCTGCAACAGAAGCAAGTGAAGCACATCACAGTCTGTGAGCCCTTTGATCTTCGAACTCCGTATATTCCCTCAAACAAAGGGAAGATTTTGAGGGACATTCAAGAGGATGAAGAAAAACTGAAAGAGACTCGCTGGCCATACGCCTCTCCGAGACGTAAACCTGCAAGAGCAAATTCACTTCGCTTAAGATCTGGAGAATCCAAATCACCCAAAATCACAGAATCCACCAAAAGACGGCTACAGGCCATAAGGTGACCCCTTATGTGGTGCACTGAACTTTGTAAATACTTAAAGAGTATTTACAAAATAAAGAGTAGACCTATTTTTTTGTACTTCTAAATATGTAGTTAATTCTTGTATGCAGTAAATATAGGAGCAATATAAGGACCCTATAACCATATTATATAGGGTTAAATAACTTAAGTAAAAGACTTAATTAGTATTTATGGCTTCTATAGAAACAGTAGAGCATTTTTCTCAAAGTGTTCATAGGAAATGGACAGATGACTGCTCTTTCCCAGTATATGCCTGAATCATTTAAAGTAGGTTGTGTCTTCTGCCCTTTTATTCCATCCCTGTTTTCATCCTGCTTTCCTCCCTCGAATTTTCTTTGCCAAATCTCCTTTGAAGTCTTGTTCTTGTCTTAAAATGAGTTCAGCCTTAGTTTATTTTTCCACCCAGGAATTCACTTCAGGAAAAGAGAAAACTGGAAGAAGAACAAAAACGGAACAGAACAAAGCAGAAACAAAGAGCGAGAAAACTGCAGAAAATCATAACAATCCGGGCTGAGGCCAATGACCCACATCAGAGCCTAGCTCAGATGTCTAAATCCAAATTAAAAACATTCAGGTATTTTGTTGCATTCCCCCAAATCCCAAACCTCTCGCTGTAAGTTGTAGGCTAAATATACTATGTAAAATCTGGTGTAGTCTAAGTTTACATAATTATACATTTGATAAATTATACATTTCACAAGCAACTAGTTTAAAAAAAAAAAAAAAGGCCCGAATTAGTATTTCCTCTGGGAATCTGTTGCCCATTGTAGTGATTTTAATCTATGCCCTTAACCTTATATAATTAGAAGTCAGCTAACAAGAGACTCCTTTGTTTGCTGAAATAACACCTACTAGAAAGGAAAATGAGTTTTAAAAAATCGGAAGGAGGAATGAGAGCCCAGTTACAAACCATCCTTGCACTGTGGACTCACGGACAGTGGTACAGCTTCGCTCCTGTCTTGCTGCTCCTCATGTAGGGGATGCTTCACTTCTCTGTCCTTCTGCTTTCCCACTTAAGAGGAGCARGAAGAGCAGTAATGGATTACAACTTTAGCCCATATATTAACAGCTAACCAGGATGCTGATGGTCCTTAAGAGGGACGGACTCTAAAGTTACCTTTAGTAAAGATACAAACACATGTTTTTAAATGATTAAGAAGATTGGCATGTAGGAAAAAAACATCAGAGCCTTCTTAAAAGTGCTGTAGGGTAGCAGTCAATAGATCAAGGTCTGAGGAAGCTGGAGCCAAGCGCAGAGCTGCTGCTTGGCCTTGTGCACTTATCTAACTTGGTATTTCTGCTCCTTGTTTTTATTGGTGCTGGAAGCAGCATTACAAATGAACCTTTAATGAGCTTTTGGAGCCTGTTTGCAGTACTGTCCTCTCCCTAGGGCTCGCTTTCATGGAGCTGAGAGGGGCACTAATGGGCACTAACAGCTCTGGTGTTTCAGGCGCAGCAGCCCTTGGGCAGCAGGAGAGGCAGAGCCTGCACCACAGGGCAAAACATGTAGGGTGACTGATTAGGAGATACGTCTGACTATAAGATTCATAGCTTATACTGGCAGCCTTTACATTAACATACTACAGTTTAAGTTCAGAGTATTGTCCAGGGTAGAGGTGGTTCAGAGATATCTCTACATACAGAGAGGCTGGAAGCCAGGGCTGTTTTTGTGGAGGCTGAGAATTTAAAGCCAGCAGTGAGGTTTCCCATTCTCCCTTGCTTTATATGGATCTCTTCTTGCTTTAGAGTTAAAATAGGAATAGTTAAATATAAGTACAGTTAAAATAGGAATAAACCCACTATTTTCTTAACAGTCTTTTCTACATTATGACTGTAATGAGCAAATTTGCTGAAATGCTGCAGCACCTTCTGCCAGACAATACTACATGTTGTTTCCCCACCAAACCTCCTAACAGTTACTCACCACCAATATTGCTGCAGTGTGACCAGAAATAGAACAAGCAGCACAAACAGAAGCACACGCTCTCATGCACTGAAAGCAGGAAGTGCAGTGGCCAAGCAAAGCAAGCCGGGGGGTCAGAACACCGCTGCAATAAGCGTTTTCCATGGGACAGACCATGACTAGCCAGGATACCTTGAGGACACTAGGATACCTGCACCCTTCCGCAGGCAGCCGAAGCCAAAGCACAAGGAGGAAGCAGCAACAGTCTCCGAAGCAGAAGGGCTGAAGCAGGGTCCCAGGGAGCAGACGAGCAGAGCATGACTAGAGCAGCAATGGTTTCGAGGCAGTTTGCCTGAGCCCAGAGCTCTGGCACGACTGGTTTTGCCCCACGCCAACTGGTTCAGAGCAAGAGCTTGATGATGCACGAGGAAGCACTCCTGTCTGGGCAGGGTCTCCGTGGGCACAGGATGATCTACTGTCTAGGAGAGATGCAGAAGTGAATTTGAGTTAGAGTAGCAAGGTGGAGATTTGTGAGAGGTGGTGGGAATGTGTGCGGGTTCAATTCAAGTTCATTCAGTAGCAAACCTCACTTTTTTAGTATTTAGGTTAAAGAGATTTTCTTAGTATTGTAAAACATTTTTGTTTAATTCTTATCTGTACATACAATTATGCTACTACACAGCAAGTGTGCTTCCTTATTGCTGATGGATGCATTAAGGCTGTTATGCGGGGTTAACTTGATAAATCTTATTTCAGCATCGGTTGGATAATAAGTTATATTAAGACAAGTGTTCTTCTAACAGATAACTGAGTTTGTAGAAAGCCTTGAGAGAACTGGCAAATAACAATGATATTCACTCCTTCAGCCTGGTGGTGCAAACACTGCAATTTCTGCAAATATTGCAGAAATTCAGAAAATGGTAGGTGAAAGGAGAAAGAATACATAGATGTATAATGTGCCCTACTTATCTCCATACATATGCACTTACCTAAATATCGTGACGTAGTAATACCAGAGCAGGGCCAGTGCAGGAGGATTAATTACCTGTGCAGCAGACACAGCTGTGTGACTGCCAGGGCCCACCCAGAGTCACTTCCAACGCGAGCTGATGAGCGGCGAGTCCTGCGCTGCCTCGCGCCGCGGCGCTCGGCGCGGCCTCTCCGTCTCCCACCACTCCAGCTCCACGGGATTTGTTAGCTTAGGTGCAACCACAGCTGGCTGCACGCGTTTCCATGGGGCCTGAGCAGATGAGCCAGCCTACAAGTGAAGCAWCTGCAAGTAAAGAGCAAAAATGTTAGTGCTTTGGTAACAACAAARGCCTTACTGGATCCAAATCAAGCCTGCCTAAGTCAGGGTCCTCACACACCAAGAGAACTACAGCCCATGCTACCTGGATTATCTATTGCTTACAACAAGTTTAGGTATGATTTAATTTGATGAATCAAAAATTTAGTCATCCCACTATATTGATTGAACCCTGGAAGAACTATCTAGGAAAAAAAATTGTAACCCTGCTCACAGGCTACGCTGTTCAAGTAGCAAAGGGTTCTTCTCATTAAGCACAAACCTAAAGTACTGTTTTTTGTTGTTGTCGTTTGCTTGTTTTTGCTTTATGMTATCAAATTAATTTCTTACAGTGTATGCTAATTTTAACAGTCCTTCCAAGCTTCAGTTTTGCTTAGAACAACTGGGTTTTTTTGTCAACATATGAATTCAGTGTTTAAGAAAAAACTTAAGAATTCTTAAGAATCCAGATTCAGACCCTTATATTTAACCCCACTAGCAAGGACCTTTCTCTGCAGATGCAAAGTGCCTGGTTCTGAGCTAGTTTTGTTTCAGGCCAGCAATTGCTGTGAAATGAGACATTTTTTCTCAGACTCTGTAACCAGCAAAAAATAATTTATCCTTTATGTATTTTTAAGTAGGACAATATTTAGTTTGTCACAAGCAATTAAATCTTAGCTGCTATAGGAAATTACTTCTGTATTATAAAGTAATAATCAGTATAATGTACTATATTTCCCTTAGGGATTATGAGAAGCAGAGAATGCAAGAATATTTGCAAGAATTGCAAGAAATGGAAGAACGAGTAAACCAAAGGCCATTGCTTTTGGAAAGAGCCACTCAGGTTGTCTTGAATTACATCTTCATGTTATCTTCAAATGATGCCTAAAACATTTGTAGTAGTAGTCTAACATTTTCAGAAGATACTTGAAAAATATTTTAAGGGTAGTAATTGCCCCTTTTAACCTCTATTGCCATGTCTCCATAGTAATATTTCTATTATCTGTGGCCAAGCTTCCATGGCTGGCTTGCTGAGAGGACTGAGATGGCTCTTGTAAACATGACTTTTTTTTTTCTCCCAAAAAAACAACTATTCTGGTTGTGATGCAGTGTCATCCTTGTTTTTTAATACTGGGTGTACTTTAATAGTCAATCCTGTTACTAGAGTTGCAAGAAATTGTAACTCGTCATCTTCTCCATTTGACTCGAGTCTTAATTTTTCCAATAGCTCTTTCTTGTTGTAAAGCTACTAAAAACACAGACTTGAAGATAATTTGTTATATCTTCTTACTAAATAATTCTTATTATTATCAAACTCTCACAGTAAGAACTGGCAAAGAATATTTAGGGKTTTTTTTATTTGCATTAAACAAAAGCTGCCAATACAAACATTGAAATTGCCAGACTTTTTTAGTTATTTAAACTAACTATCTAATTCATAGCTGACAATTCATAGGTGAATAAAACCCACCTAAACAGCATAAAGACAACTTTTTTTTTTTCTGACAGGTGCCTTGCACAAGTCACAGAACACTAGTTAATGGCTTGCCCAGGCAAATGAGATGAAGTGTAGCATGTGAAAAGTACTGTCAAATGTGAAGTTCAGAAAAAGCTGTGAGAGTCATTTAGTCTTCTGAGAGGCAACCACTGCAAACACTGGCACGGAGGAAAACTTTACATGCTTTTGTCTTGAAGGGAAAACCCCATCCTGTCTGATTCACTTACAATGTGAATAGCTCTAAATACAACAATATTTAGAGCAAAAATGTGAGAGCTGCAAGTTGAGAGGTGAACAGGTAGAGGGGAACTCAAGCATTCTTTGTGCTACTATTAAGTTAGATGGTTTTATCATTTTAAATATCCATATACACTATATACGCTACATGCACACACATATATATTCACTTACTCTGTATATGTGTGTGTACGTGTGTGTGTTTGCATATATATGTGTGTGTTTGCATATATATGTGTGCATATGTAAATTGTATGTAAATATGCAAGTATAGCCTTTAATTAGCCAATGGGGCAGGAAGCAAACTGGACAAAACCTAGTACAAAGAAGGAGGAAAAATCAGTATAAAATTTTTGAGTATTGTTTTGCCTTTCTTATCTGTAAGGAGTAGTCATTTAACCTGGTACATGCAATTAGAGCATTAGTTATCTAAACAAAAGTGTCAAAAAGCCAGGCATTTAATGCATCTAAATAATATTTAACCTTTCCCCCCCCCCTTACAGATTAATGCGAGAATCGCTGCAGAGAAGCATTACTCTAACACCCTGAGGGAACTCGGGATATCCACAGAGTTTGTTTCAAGGAAAGGGCAAACAGTGAGTTTGCTAGAACACCCCAATGCTGGAGATTTTAAAAACCTGACTAGCTTTAAAAAAAGGTAGGGATTACCAAATATTTTTCCTTTCCTTTCCTTTTTGCCATTTTATTCCTAATAATTAGAAATCTATTTTTATTTTTTTATGAAGCTATTTGTACTATTTCCCATATAACTAATCAAAGGTTAACATTACTTCTTTTTTTCCTGAGTATTATTTAATAAGACAGAGGAATGCACTGTAATGAACTTCAAAGGAAAATGAAGAAGAGAAGTAGTTTTTTTATGTTCTTTTTACTATAAAATTCTAGTAGTTCACTAGTAAGTCTTGGTTCATTCTGCATTACATTTGCTGCATTTTTAAAATACACCTTTTWAAAAATATATATTTTTTCAATGTTATTCTATAGAAAGAAATAGAGGAGGCCAAAATGGGAATAYACAAGCAATGGTAGTTAGAAATACTTAGTAGCATAAAAAGATAATCTAGTGCCCTTCCCTTCCCTTTTCCTCCCCCAGTTCTACCCCAGCTTAGTCTACCAGGATTTATCCTAGCTTACACAATAGTAGTATTCCTATAAAAACTACCAGGTGAAAAAAAAAATCTCACCTGAAAAAAGAAATCCCTGGTGCAAATTATCTTTTCAGATTCACCAAAGATTTAGCCAGAGAGCGCCAATCCCCCGAGGAAGCAGCAGGCAGCAGYCCCCGGTCTGAGCAGTCCCGCACCGAGGAGAAGGAGGAGAAGAGAAAAGTGGTCAGAGCCTCCACGCAGGATGACCACRCCAGTGAGGAGGAGGAGGCAAGAGGCCTTCGTGCTCACGAGCTTTGCCGTGACAGGGAGGCCAGCACCAGCCCCAACTCTGACCAGGGCTGTGAAAAGGAGGAGGACAAGGAGGACGACGACGACGACGAGCATGGGGAAAGATCCAGCTCTCAGTCTGAGCATCCTGGTGAGCAGGACGAGGGTCAGTCTGATCCTGAGGCTCAGGATGCCTTCAGATATGATGATGAGGACTATGAAAATGATGATTCAGAAGAGAAAGCCAGTGATGAAGATGACTGAAAGCAAGATAGGAAGGCTGAGGCTCAAAAATACACCTCATTGCTGACAGTGAAGTAGATAACAAAGAAAAACAAGGGTTTCAGATAATGATATACATTTTTGAGAATTTAAAGCACTTAACCTACAGTCTTTCCAGGACAGAACTTGTGTCTGTTTTCTACTAAGAAAGATCAAGTTTTGCATCTCCATCAAGAAATTTCTTTGGTTACCTTTATATTTACCTTTTTTATTCTAGAATTTCATTACATTGGTTTACCACTATCTATAAATGAACAACAGACACTGTTTACAAATAATGTCTTGCATACTGTGATAGTGCGTACTAAGGTTTGAACATGTCCAGCTTTCTGTATGCTGGCAAAACCAGATGAGATGCTAATGGAATAATTTGCATCCCCATCTCAGGCATTTCAGTATTTCTCTGATCTGTTCCTGTAATATCTCCTACTATAGCAACAAAGTGCCAGGAGGAGTTTACATGTAAGACCTCCTGAGTGTTATTGGAGAGTTGGCAGGAGGAGGACAACTTGTGTAATCAGAAGAAATGACCAAATTAGTCTATTTCCTTCCTCCATCCACTTCAAGCACATGTTTGGCTTCTGCCTGTTTAAATCAGATAAAGGTGGTGACGAGTCAGATAAATGCCAGCACCAGAAGAGCACAGGGAGCACAGCTTTTCCAGGAAGGAAGCTGTTAGATCTACTAGACTACTTTGTCTAGTTAAAATATTAACAGGATCTCGGTTGCTGAGGGCTGTCCCCATAGAATAGGGATAAAACATCCAGAATACTCTGAGAGGAACTGACAGAACTCTTTAATGCTTAGAAATGAATATGGTGGGAGAAACGAGTAGAACTTATTCCTAAGGAAAAAAAAAATACATGCTGCAGATTTTATATTAGTGTCTAACTGTCACCAATACTGGGGATGAACCTCTCAACACCAAGGCAGCATTAAGAAGGCAGCAGCATTATCTTTACTGCACTGTGGGATGCACAGGGGATCACTCCACCTATCCTGCACCCCATATAAGCTGTGGCTAGTGCAATGTATCACAGTTACATACACAGGTATTGGATTTCCCAGCATGATCATGCAAAGTCATTCTGTTTCCTCAAACAAATCACAGCATGTCCCACCGTCACACGTGTCACCCTGGGGCACACCTTTCGGGACCCCTGGTGATCATCTTTGTGTCCTTTCGATGAACTGTCTCAAAGAAATTTCAAAATTAATGTCAGTATTTGTCATTACCTTCTAAAGAATTATTTTACGTGACCATAGGAAGTTTTTTGAGACAGTAAACAGATATTGTAAGAAGAGAAGATAATTACATCAGGATAAAGGTGCAGCCAGCAACTGTAGGTATCTGCACAAAGGTATGGTAAGGAAAAGTTTGAYTTTCTTCACCTGCTACTCAGAAGGGCAGCTACTACACAACGGCAACAAAAAGCAGCAGCAAACAGAGGCCTTTTCAGCCCTGTTCTTTGCTTAGCTGCTAACCATGTCACATCCAACACTAGGACAGAAAATAAAACAATATATATAATTACATTACTGTTAGGGATTTAAGAGAAGTTTTGCAGGCTTAGTAGAGAACAGAGCAAAATGTTACATTACACAGKATCTCAAAACACATACACTGAATAGTAGAAAACACTGTATTTGTTAAAACTACCAAGTTTGCAAAGGCATCCGAAATGCCTAACAATGGGGATTTCTTGTAATCATTTTCGGCGTCATATGGAATAGCAGCAACTACATCTGCTACTATTCATGTTCCTCCAGACTTTGAGGAATTGTGCACTTACTTGGAAGTTAATCTTTATTTTTATTTATTTATGAAGTGTAGAATGATTAATACCCGTTTCAAGCTCTAATTTTGTATTTAAATAAAATATCCCTTTTATATGTATCATGCATGAAACTAACAGTCATAACTCGACAGTGAAACCCATCCTTTGCAATCTCCAGTTACCCCCCCAAGGCACCACAAACCATCGTTACTGCGCAGCTCTTGCRCGCTGCAGAGGCTGGGAGTGTGTTAGGGCACTGCCAGGCACACGCAGCTAGAAGGCCCTTCCAACCTCGACCACTCGGTGAGTCTGCAATACTTGTCTCTTTAGTAAAGCCTATTTGAAAGCAGGCGGAGCAGCTTCGGATTTTATTTCCTCCCACAGAGGCTGCTTGAAGGTTTTTCAAATGTATTAAGTTCAGATAGCGCTCAAGTATAGGCTCTGAAAGAGCACATATATAATTTATATAATGGTTGAACCTGTCAAGGTAGGGAGTAATAACCATTACTCTAGAGCTGTCGTCTTTGTAGAAGAGACGGCAGATACAAGGATATCAGTATATATATATGTGTGTGTGTGTGTGTGTGTGTGTGTGTGTGTGTGTGTGTGTGTGTGTATAAAAGAAAAAAGGACTTGGGGGAGGAGTCAAGGATCTATGTAGAATTTAGACATTTTGAAAGAAAAAAAAAAAGTTTTGAAGTGATTAAACCATCTCAATTGCCCATTTAGATTTCTTAGGCTTCCAGAATGGCAGGAAGTAAAACTGTCCAACTGAGTTTGAATTGAAATGTCATGAATCTTCATTGAAAATGCCAGTCTTCAATCTCTGGTTGTATAATCTTTCGCTAATCTCTTGGTTTAGGGCAGAAAAGGGTTGTTGGAAACTCCAGCAGAACTCAAAATCATTTCCTCCTTCAGTACAAAGTTTAGTTCTTTGAGGAATGCCAGATCAGAACCAAGACTTATAATAGTATCAAAAAGATCTCCTTYCTACTGTGTACTAAAAAAGACCAGCAAACAGATGAAAAAAAGCAGAGAAAACATGGATTACATGAATAAGGCAAACTGCACACATACCAAGTTGCAGGAGCTAGCGTGCCGTTTTAGCTGTTAGTTTTGCATTATGCAATAAGAACATTAAAGCAGCAGGGTGCTAAGCATCCACCAACACACAGAAATAAAGCTCCAATTCCAGGACTATTCCTGCAGAACATCCCTGCACACCCCAGAGGAAGCACATGATGTTTAATCAGAGAGGTAAATCCCTGCACAGACAGCTGAGCAAATACAAGAGTTTGCTTGTGCCCCCAGCGGGAGTCACCCCTCTCTCCTCCCATCTTTCCTTCCTATCCGTGTTTTCCAGATTCCTCACGGAGTCGCTGAAGTCCCTAAAAGAGCCCAGCCAAAAGCAGGGTGTGAGGTTAGGAGATGAGAGAGACAAGCAGGACTTCCCCCTTTCAGTGTGGGCCAGTTGCGTTACTCAATCCTAATATTTTAGGATTAGCCGTAGGAGAAATTCACCCATCTGTGTAGGTGCCTGCAGATGTACAGGGAATACAGATYGTTTACAGGCTCTCTCTGAAGCAAGAGCTTTCGCTTTGTTCAGTGCACACAAATGGTGCCACAGGCACTAGTGGATCCATTGAAGTCAACAGGACTCAAGCCAGGCATATCTGCATTTGTTCAGCTCACAACCTGCTGCTAACAGCTAGGCCTACCAAGGGGGACAGCAAGGAGACCACCAGCCCTGGGCAGCAGGCTGGGGAGCAACAAGCAGCCAGGAACCACAAGGTGCCAGGGCCACCGAGCAAGAGTTCRTCACCAGCTTTGTGAGATGCTACTGGCCACCTGCTTACCAAACTATTCAAATCATTGTTTAATTCATTCCTTTTATTCCAATGGTAATTGCAATGRTTAAGTAGCAAAGAAGAAGCTGATACGACTTTCTGGTTCAGCAAACTGATGCTTCTGGGGGAAAGGAAATGTTTTGTAATTAATCAACATTTTTCACTATTGCAAAATTCTTTCCACATAGCAAAATCATTTTTCTTTAGTGCCAGAATTAAAGAATAAACCTGCTGGGTGACTCCAGGAAAGGAGAAGAAAGGAGTTTAAAAAAAAAAAAAAAANAAAAAAAAAAAAAAAAGAAAGAAAAAAACTTGTGGCTTCTAATTAAAATAAACTCTTAATAAGAACCCAGTCACTCTCACTTTAGATGAGAATAGAAGCTGAAATATTAGTATATCTTTGCTTCTCATTCTCTTGTCTGGAAAGCAACTCAAGGCTGCACATAAATAGCCTTCACAGCTTCAAATCACCCGTGCAGGTTTCTCAGAGAAGTATCTGGACACTAACTGAGAATAATTGCTGGGAGTTTTGCTTATGCCCATTCCTCATCTTCACCAAAATTCCCATGTATGTGTAAAACACTAAAACCCTTCAGCACACGCACAGCGAAGTTGTGCTGCTCCTTTCAGGAGCAAAGATCACCAACCACGTGGCAGCAGTTTCTCAGTCTGAGAAGAACAAGCCACCTCCGTGCTGGTTCGTGTTCCTGAGCAGAGGCAACGATGCCTCTCCAACCTGTCCACCCGAGCCCACATGCAGTGGATTAGCTGGAAAATACCCATAGCCCAAGGAAAAAAGAATTAGCTGGAAAAAAAAAGAATCCCCCCCAAAAAAGATTAGCTGGAAAATACCCAAAGCCCAAGATAACATTCAGTGCTAGTAAGGCAATAAATATATCAGGTAATATTCAGCTTACTATAGAGTAACTAAAACCCAAGTTTATTCAACAGCTTGTTCTCTTTCAGATCCCCCACAGACTGTCAGCACAACAGCTATTGTCTGGCCCTTCTCACCCTGTGCAGAGGCAGCAAGGATGTAAAACATGGACCAGACTCCACACAACCCACCTCAGACTCATGTGTCTGTGAAATTCACTCAGTTGAACACTAAAGGAAAAGCAAATCTACCCTGGAGAATGTACTTACGAAATTAATACCTGCATAACTCCCCTTTTCAGGACAGGTTGACACATCCCAAAGGAATTTCCATCTCCTGCTATCCTTGGCAGCTGTAGGGACAGGAAATCTAAGTGGGTAGCACTCAGGGTACACTGAACAGTTCCCAGAGCACTTTCCACACCTCTCTCACAAGGCCTCTATCTTCACACAGAAAATTCTTGTCATGCCTGCAAAAACCTTTGAATTCTTCAGGTAAAAATCCTCTGGAAAGGCCAAGCATTAGCATAAATAAGCAGTTGGTCTGCAGGCTGCTTTCTTAGTAATTACCTTGAAGATGAGATTCCTAATAGCTTCTCAAAAGGGAACTCAAAAGTGATCCCAGGAGACTGCACAGCAGTTTTTGTTTGTTTGTTTTTGTCTGAAGAGCTTGCAGGAACCAAGTAGTTCCCATGATGCGCAAAGACTGTGATTTTTTACTAATACTTCTCTCAATATCTCAGTAAAGCATTATCTAAACAATATCATACAAACACTGACCACACTTCCTTTCCTTTTTCTGCTGCAAGTTGTATTCCAACGCAGTTCAATACCATGAGATTCCCTTTCATACATCACCAATTCARTATAGGCCTTCAGTTCTGCTATCTGCTTCAGACAGATGTCCTGCAAATAATTAAAAACAATCACAACTTTACAATGAATTACTTGTTATCTCTGTATATTTACATATCTGGTGGATACCATTCACACGGCATAAATACGAGCAAATGACAAGGCAGGACATACTGATTAAGAAAAAGTTTTCAGAAGGACTTGAACAAACATGATGTTTCCCAGAACAGTTTGAGAAGAATTACGAGTTGGCTTTGGGTGAAAGGCAGCTGTCCCTCTCGTCTCTCCTGGCCACTTAGCACAAACTGGCTCAGAGGGTCCCAGGAGATGCAAAGGGTCCCAAGGCAAGTCCCAGGAGAGAAGCTCTTCTGGCTGGAAGGTTTGTAGAGGCCAGAGTGGTAAGTCCCTCTAAACAGCCAGTAGGTCTACTCAACTTCCTAAAATAGTAGGAGTCATCTAATCAAAATACTCCAAACAACAATAAAAACCTTTTGGTGAGACAGCAAGCTGTTAATTTGTCTCAGCAATAACAGAGCACATCTTTTTTCTTCCTTTTTTTAATTTTTTTTTCTGTTTTATTTATTCACAAATCGTTTTCCAAAGATAGCAAGAGATCTAATTCTCAGACTCACGACAGAAATCTAGCACAGATTTTTGGTGTCCTTTTGAAAATCTCTCCTCTGGAGTTCGTGAGAGACCTCACTCACACATAGAAAACTGAAATTTAGACAAGCAGAACAAAAATAAATAAATAAATAAAAAACATCAAAATGTGGGAGGGGAGGAAGACACAGAATGATAGAACTTTTGATTTTTCCTTACTCTTCAAATCTGTTTAACTCTCTAACGTCTGGAAATTTTCACTCAACTTGGCATCCTGGTCAGGTTCCTCACTTGCCATGTAAGTGCTTGTGCGAAGGAGAAACGAGACCAGTGGTAGAGAGGGCAAACCCTTCTCTAGGGAGCAGTGTCAGCTCAGAGCGCAGGCAAAAGAGCCTCCCTGAAGACTAGAATTTTGTGCAGTTGGAGGAGTCTGTTTGGGTCAATATAGAGCAGGAAAACTGAAACAGAAGCACTGCCAAACCATCAATGCCAGCAATGAAGTGAAAAACTCAGCCAGTTTCTCACRTCTACCATGAAAAACTGAAATCTAGGCCATTATTTCTGGCATCCCTTTTCAAAAAGCATCCTAGCAGAACAGGTACACCAGGCACCCTCCAAAGCCCACAGTTGCTTTCCATATGGGAACTATGACAGAGCTTTAAGAACATCCTGTACCACAGGCTCTTTGGACTGTGTATCCTAGACATCTTGCTCCAGAACACCCACTTAGTTCCCACTGGYGCTAAGAACAATCATATCAAGATGAATTCCACACTGTAAACATGAGTAGAATGAAATAGAAAATAAAGGAAAAAAAATAAAAGTAGGTCCCTTTTTTCCCCTTTCTAAAGGAAATAACATGATTTTTACCCCAGCATTTTTTCATTGTTGTAACAATGGTTCATTTTGAGCTTTATCTCACTGCATGTACAGYTGGGAAACCCCCATACAAACATATCAGAGCTGCCTGTGCTTTGTTTTCACTGTGTGTCTGCAACAGCTCCATCGATTTCAAGGGACCTATTGCAAGTTAACATAGCTGCCCAAGGGGATAGGCTTTCCTAGAGCACAATTCTGAAGATACCTACAGCGCCRGAGCACCCTCTATACACTGACAGTCATTTGACAGAAACATTTAACAATTCTTTTTAAAAAATCATATATTTTGCAGTGCAGGTTCAGTCAGCAGCTGCTGCTGAGGCCTGATCCTAGCTCACTGACCGGGGTGGATGTGTTAGGAGCACACTTTGCAGCTCATGTCTGAGTACCCTTTTATGCCCAGTGAAAGCCCTGTCTTTGGCTTCAGGAAAACTCCAGTAATTCAGTTCTTGGGATGTGAGTTGCTAGAGGAAAAAAACTCCTCACTCCCTTAACCAGGGAGCAACGTTGTGGCTTGCAAACTCACAGCCCTGGAGAACGTGAAACGTTAGGATGTCTTAACTGCATCCTCCAGGGTTTTGCCCAGAAGTGCACATCCTCACTGCCAGCACCACCACMGTGTTTCAACTCTGTAGCAAATACCAATTTTACACCATAATTGCTTGCTTCTTTCCTAGCAGGAACTCATAGTTTCCATGGGCTATTCTTCTCTGTACGAAAATAGGAAGYGCTCTTTCTCTGCTTGGGCCTGATCCAATACCATGGACATTAATGGAAACCCCTTGCCCTCAACTTCAACCTTCAACCTCTTTTCACCTTTCGCAGTAGAGGAAGAAAGGAACAGCCACCTTTCATACGTGGATCCAAAGTCAGCACACGCCAGAGTAAGCATAAGAGCTGAAAAATGTGGTAGACCAACACACCCACACTTGCTCTACTGAGCACCTTCTCATTTTCCAGATTGAGGATTTTTCATTTTCTTTTTTCTGGGTCCTTTTGAGCTGGGACTTTAACTCTTCTTTTTCAAACAGCAGCTCAGTTCGTTTCACACTGGGCATCTGTGTTTGTGTCTCTTCCTCATGTGAAGTTCCTTGCAGCCAGGCTCTTGACTCCCCTATTTCAGCTAATGAGCTGTCCTGGGCAAGGAGAAAAGCCACCACACGTTCTGCATTCCCTCTGAACAGCTTAGCTGTGCTATGCTCATTCTCAAGAGCCTGAGCAAATATTTGTAATAGCAAGACAAGTGGGAGGGATGAGTATTTCATGCACACCTGACTCATGTTTCCTTTTAAAAGCTGAAAATTGTTACAGATATGCATTTTCCAGAAGACACTAAAATCTTTGCCCACTCTAGAAAATAGCTACTATGGGAAAACCGCATCATCTTGCTCATCCTCTGTATCAAACACGAGTTATACATCAGTCACCTGTCAAGAGGTGCAAGATAGCAGACACATTAGCAGAGGAAGGAAACAATTCAGTCAATAAAGGAATTGATACTTGTCTATAGTTAGAAAATGCCTCTTACAGAATAAACAGTTCTTCTGAAGCATCGAGAAATAAGAGTTTTGAGTTAAGTACACACATGCATAATTAATGTAGCTTAACCACCAGTCTTTAAAAGTGTTTTATGATTTCAAATATTCTTTTATCTTGTTCTTTCCTCAAGAGTACATCTAAGGGCTACTGGGAAAAGAGAGAGATGTGAAAGGGCTCTGAATTCCCTGTATAATGAGAAGGGGACTGATATGCCAAACTTACAGAAATCAACACAGGGACTTCTCAGTTTACAGAGCAGGAAAACAGGCTTCTTGTCTCTTCCTGAAGAGAGAAAGAGAAGAGTATGTTGTCAGGAAAATGACGTTTTCCCTCTCCATCCATAACATGCAAAAATTCACCCACCTTCCTCATACTCAGTGGAATTACTGGAAGGGCAGGAAGGTCTCGCATGTGCAGAAGTGGTACCAAGGAGTTCTTTTGAGAAGGCTCATCTTTCACAAGCAGCATTGCTCACATTGTGCTTCACTTGCTGGAGCCCTGGTACCCTTGGAGGTCAGAGCAGTTTTCCAGATACCAGTTTGRAAAGTGGTGGCACCTCAGACCCTCCCATAAGGGCCATCCCCTGAACAATGGCCACCACACAAGCTGCAGGAGAACTAAACTGGCATTCAAGTCTTCACAACCCATAGAAAAGGCAAAAATAACTAAAGGATATCTCTATATCAGCATTGCAGCTTGGGTCAGGAGTGCATGTCTGGTGCATATCTTCCAATTGCCCCAAGTCTTGTGCTGCTYTGCACATTACTGAGTAGCCCTGAAACACACAAACTGGATCCCTTCTTCTGTTTCAAACTATCCAAAAGATGCACCCCAGGCACCTGGGTGGCTGGCCCCAAATCAAACCTCTTGAAATCATGCARAGCAAACAGGTTGTCACACCAGCTTCTTCCCTCTGCAGACCCCTTGTATGCCATGTTTGCTAAGGTAGACACAGAGAAAGTCTCCAAGAACCTTGGAGCAGGGACACTGTGGAGGGCATCCAGCAGATGGCAACCTGCTGATAGCAAAGCAGGAAGCAAGAGGTCCCACTTCTCAAAGCGTATTTTTACCTATTATCCTTATGTCCTTAAGAAAATATTTTTACTCATAAGATGAAGTAAGTCTTTCTGTCTACTTGGTGTCTGTCTCTCTTGAATTTCCCCAAAAGAGAAAAATGACTTATAAGGCAAAGCTCAAGCAATTACTTTTAAGCACTGCCTGACTCTCTCTCCACCTGCTTTGCACAGGTAATATCCTAAACTGATCTGGATTCTGCAGTTGCCACAAAAGCCTTCTCCTTTGATTTATGTTGTAGTCGATATTTGACAGGAGGAATCAGAAACTGCTTTTCACATTCTGCTGTTYGATAGTGTGTTTTTATGCATTGCACAGAAATTCTCCCAGTTCTTAAAATGTCAGAAAATGTTTTTGCTAGGAATAACCGCCTCCCTCCACCCCCCCAACAACTTACCAGTTATTGTGGTTTCCATTTGCTCTCTTCCAATTTATTTGATTCTGATCTGCTCACTATAAATGTCAGTTCATTTTTATATATYCCCACCAACTTGTCAGGATGGGAAACTTCCTCTTACAGTTGCTGCTGTTTATCTTTCTTTTCATTAAAGCAGGACTGAGTCCTTAGCCTCCTGGGTCACTGAATTCAGTCCCTTGGTATCACAGGTCTCCACACAGCTTTCACAAATTGATCAACTCCACATTAAAGCCAGATAGTTTTCAAAATATTTCAGAAGAGCTGGGTTTCAGTTCGTGAGGTAGTAACACACACAGTCATTAGAGAAAAGAGTCTGGGAACTGAAGCAGTAGCTTTAAAAAAAGGTTTGTGAGTGTAATTCCAACAGCTTATGAAAAAAGATGGACTTCATTTCTGAAGGCCAAAACCTGCAGAAATAAGCAAAGGTCTTGAAATGTAGGGTCAAGATCTGCCTTCAGGACACACACACCTAAGTAACCACAAGTCCTTTCTCTTAAACTGCTAGATTAGATTCCTACAGGAAGCCCCTATCAGATGGGTTGAGATGAGTTTTACAGCAGGATTCAAGCTTGGTGGTATTATTCCAAACAACCAGTTTGGTCAGCAGGCCAAACAGAAACAACAAATCTTTTGTGAGCACTGAAGTCTTCCAAAAGTGAAAATATTGACAGACTACATTTAATTCTCTGAGAGTATCCATTACAAAGCAAAACAAGACATCTCAGCAAACACAATCTATGCACATCAATATCATATGTTTCTGTCATTTAACCTTGTCTCAAAAATCATTATAAAAGACACTGTTGTCAGCGACAGCAACCAGACAGAAGAGATGAATGGCTCCGTACAGAGCTGAACACGGCCACGTCTGCAATGAGAACTCCCTTTGTCAGGAAACGCATTCTCATTTACACTGACAGAGAACAAAGAAAAAATCTGCCACGAGCTGAAAGGCAGAAGACTCACCTTGGAAAAAGGGACTACTTCATTCTCTGTGCTTTGAAATAACTTGCTATGTCCTGCATACTTTTTCAGCTCAGCTTCCAGCCCAACAATCCTTTCTTGCGAGGCCTCCTCAGCTCTTTTTGACTGCAAAATGATTTTGTCTTACTCGTTCCAGATCCTTCCTTCCCTTTTACATTTTGGATAGTCTGGTCCCCGCAGCGTTTCAGCTGTGAGTCCTTCTAGAGGAATCTTTGAAAACGGTACCTCAAACTTGGAGGAATTTTTTGAGCTCTAGCACTACCAAAGGCACATTCAAACGGTTTGAGTGAGCACTAAGATATCAACTGTGATCGATTGTTRCTTCTCTTTTATCCACTGCAGCAATGGAGAAGTCCTGATGCTTTCTCCCGTGGCTTCTCCACCTGAGGCAGGTTGATTTTCTGCCCCCTTACAAGCTCTCTGGAGACATTTCAGATTGGCACAGGGTCTTTGCAGCTTTTATCCATGGCTCTCGTGGAGGGACTAAGACTGAAATTAATATGAGGAAGGGAAGTCTGCAGCTGGGGAAACATTTTTAATTGTATTATTTTCTCAGAAATTAATAATTCCAAACAATTTTGCTATATCTAAAGAAATAAAATAACACAATTGCACTGTTAAATACTTGCATGTGTTCTATTGCCTTTCTAGCTCTAGTGTTAGGCAACAAAAATCAAGCAAAAAAATTAGTTTTACCTTTCTTGTGTTTGTATTTTCAAGTAGGCCCTTTTTCTTTTTTTTTCCTGGGATTCTTCTGAGCAGAAAGTGCACCGTTTGTCTTCGATTAAAACAGAAATAGCAGAAGATCAATAAAGATTTTCATCAGAACAGTAATAATAAAATTCAGTATCTGTCACATGGAACCACAATTTTTATTTTCCACAGAGGTGCTTTTCTCTCAGTAAAATCCGTAAAAGATTTTCTTCATAAATCACTTTCAGGTACAAATTAAAATATAGACTCATGAAAGCAACTGTCTAGAAATGGCCACATTATAAGGACTGACTGACATGAAAAAAGTATTATGAATTAGACAGGAAAGTTTGTTCAGAAAACTTGGGATCTTCTGATACAATTAATGTAACCTAAATAAAAAGCAGACTGCTATTAATGCCATACACACCAGGTTACCAGAGAGACACTACCTTAACATCAGGTGAATGGTCTGCATTTTGCCACCTTTGCAGCTGCCCATACATAATATTGTGGAAAAAAAAAAAACCCATAGTGTGTGATACTATACAAAAAAGTGAAAATACTGTGGAAAAAAAAAAAACTGTGTGATATTATGCAAAAGCTCTAAGCAACAGCAGATGTCCTTTTGAAGACCCAGGAAGAAACTACATCATTTGCTTGAACACAGCCCACATTTGTAGGATGTGTACCTGGTTCACTTGTGGTATCTACCATTAGAAATAGAACAAGCAGGGGCCAGAGAAGGCTGGTATGAGGATTCCTTCAAACCTATTAATTTAGACCTATAAATTTAAAAATGTCAATTTTCAGATTCTTTTGAGATTGAAGGAACTTACCCAGAAAAATCACCTATGCATACAAGATATGCAGAGTGTTCCCCTACATGGTGCAAAACATTGTCTGGAACAGGAGAAATATCTACATTATGCCCGACGAGCTCCACTCTACATTGGTGAGGGTTTCACAGTTGCATCATCTTGTTTTACAGCACAGCTACATACTCCAAATAAGTGACGAAAAGCAGTTTCCAGAAGAGCTAAAAATAAAGATGCGTGTAAGTTTTAATATTGGCAGAGGCTGCTAAACGTCACTTCAGGAACATGAGCTGGATCCTCAGACACTTGTACCCTTTCCACAGCCCTGCCAAAGGTTTGCCTTATAAGCTCACRCATGAGAAAAAAGAAATGGCAGCAGTAACTTTTGCAACAGAAACGTTAGCACTAGCACACTAGGGAAACCACTTTGGAGCTCAGTATAAGTGCTGCTACGTTATCATTTCTGTGGCATCTACTAAGTACAAAGTGTTTTAGCAGAGAGAACACCCAAAACTCAGGACTTTTGGTGCACTTTTAGTGTCAGCAAGTCTGTTCTGAGCGCTCCGTAAGGACAGACCCAAAGGCCTCCCATGTCCCCAGGCGAGTGTGTGCAGGAGCTCGGCTGCAGTGCTGCAGTATCTGCCTGTCTAGGCAGAATTTTGACAGCTTCTCTTCTCGCTGACATCTATAACCCTCAAAGCCCCTTTGCACACAAGTCCCTTCCCTTAGGTCTGAGCCAGTATGGCCAAAGCCACTCAGCCAAACACTTCATCTTCTAGAGTTCTTTCCTCTCATTCCTCTCAGAAAAAGAGAAATTTTAGTTAATTTGTTCCATCTCATTCTTTCTTCATTATTTCTAATCTCTACAGGTATGGATTTTGTCACGCTACAGCGGTCTTCTCTGTTTAGTGCAGAAACTCTGGTCTGGAAATCATGTCAACTGCTGCATGTTATAAAGTCTTAACAGTTCAGTAATGAAGTCCTGGGTAACACAAGGAAAGAAGCACTTCTGCAGAGAGGAAAACAAGTGTTTTGCATCATCATCCAAAACCTGCTGCCTCAAATTTTTCTGTGAACCTGCTCCTACCAGCACAAGGCTCCTGTATACTTGTATCCAGAGGAGGTGCCAAATAAAACGATGCTTCTGGAATGTCAGCCCAAGTTAAAACGGCTGTGTGGAAAAGATTTGCATATGACATAATTATGATTAATTGCATCTACTCTGCAGAAGTGTCTCATGACTACGAGCCTGAAGCTGTGCAAGGAGCTTAGTCTGAAAGAGTTCAAGAGTTCTAAGCAATTAATGGGTCAACACAGTGAAAATGCCTCACAAAGATCACCACTTACCAGATAAAAGCTTAAAGATTTCAGGTCTAGCTTCTACATGGGAGGTGTTAGGCAGTCTCCACTGCAGGATTCTAGAAGAACTACTGTATAAACTACAGATCCAGGAGCAAATACTGAAAATAATTAGGGGATAGTTTCAAGTCATGAGAGGAGCAAATATTGAAGAAGCAAAGGAAAACATGATTCAGTCAACTTCGATTCTGTTAACCTGGCTTTGATGATATACAAAGTTTAAAAATACATGCTTTTAAAAATAAAGATACCAAATTTAGTTAGAAAAAAAATGAGATTAAAATGCAACATGGATTTGTAAAAGACCAGTTATTCACTAACCAGATAGACCTACTTTATTTCCTATATCTAGAAAAATTACTTTTCCTGCCAGTCTGGACTTCAGAAATCATTTCATATGAGGAGTCAGTTMGAAACAGAAATGAGGATACCATTAGAGGATAGGAAACACTGAGCCAGGGGATAGACAAAATGGAACACATTAGGCTAAGGGAAGGCTGGAACTGATTTCATTTAACATGCCCGCTAATAGATGGAGGAAGTGACTTAACTTCTACATCCTCAAAATACAAACTCAGCTTTTTACAAATCATCTATGGGGCCAAAGCTTYTATTTACTTCATGTAAGTTAGACATTTATGAGGTTATAAACACATTTTTTGGGGTCACTAGTTACTAGGTGGCAGATTTCYTTTATTTTTCGTGTACCACACATAGAAGTCTCAAGAAGATCAGGAAATCTAGGCACTACAAAAAATAAACTCAGCAAAATACTACTGGCCTTAGCAATGAAATAGAATCTGGGTAGGACTTTAGAAGAGTCAATTTCATTTTCATAGACAATGTTAAGTTACGTAATTAACAAGTTTGGTTCAACGGTTGATCTTCCACTTTCAAGTAGCATCAKGTGAAAATGATAAGATTGCAGTGTTAATAGCAATTATGACTTCTCTGAAACAGTAAAATGTTAACACACACGCACATAAAAAATAAACTATCATTTTCAAGTGCAATGAGAAGAGACTACATTGTTACTATAGACCATCTGCTAGGAGGAACACAGAGCAGCAGATGATGAGCTARATTCACATCGGGTGTTTAAGGATAAAGTTCCATTGACTTAAAAAAATTAATCCCAAATTCCTGTCTATTACAAATTAATGACACGACACAGTGCATGCTAGTAAAGGYAAAACAAGGTTAAAATCAGAGGCTGCTACAGCATTCTCATTTAAAGTGATTTCATACGTATTTATAGGTGATAAAAGTCAAGACTGACAGCTGCTCACAAAGGTTAATACACTTCAAAATGAAAAAACTGCCATGAAAAGAAAGAACATATAGCCCTATTGCCAGCTATGGGTCCCTTTTAAACCATTTTCCTCAATCCGTTTTGCTTTACAATTACACTAACTACAYCACGATTGCTCTCAATACAGTATTTTCAAAATTTGGCTTCCTGTCACGACGTATTATTTTCTTCTCCTAATCACCACCTTTATTATTGATTTCCAGCTAATCCCTGCAATTATTAGAAAAAGGTTTGGGCAAGTTTCCTGAGAGCCCTGCAGGTGCCCACTTTGCCCCTATTAGTAGGGCTTCCTTCCAGCCCCTTGGGCTACCACTAGTCACTAGCTGCTTGACCATGTAGCTACTCTGTGCAGGGACCGGGRGGGAGAACATTCAAGATCCTCCAAGGAGCTGACAAGAAAAGCAGCAGCTGCTGGCCTCAGCAGAGGCTCTGCTCAGGGAAGTTGTCCCGGAGAGAAGTCTGGCAGGACCCAGCTGTAGGAAACGACACAGTTCACCCTCCTACGGAAAAGGTGCTACGAGAAATTTGCCCCACGCTGTTCTCTCCTTATTGGAAGGAAATTATATTATTTGAAAGAAAAAAAACCCAACAAATACCCRGGAAGTACAACTAGAAGGTACATTCAGTAAGGTCACTGGCAGACAGGTCGTAGCAGAGAATGGGGGATTTATTTTGCCAGGCATATCATGGACTACATTTTGTTAGTAAATAAAACACATGAAGATGGTGCTGCTGGCACGTAAGCAGCTTTAGGGGAGCTATCTGGCTGACTAAACGAGGAAGAAACATTGAACAAAATCTCTCTGTGGTTTCAACTCAAACTGCAAAACTAAACTCTGGCTGGGGCTGCCTGTGTGCTGCTCCGGCAGCCCGGCCGTCAGAGAGGCTCCCACTGCAGCGGCTGCTGCGCGACGGCCCCAGCCGGCAGCCGCGCTAGCCGAGCAGCATTGAAATACCGGGGGGCGGGAGGCAGGGAATCTGTTTTTCATTTTAATAAATAAATAAAGAAATAAAAACCCACTAACAAATTATAAACAAAACACACCACACTGAGGACTCTAAGCTTACTTAACTGGAAGGAGATATCAGTCTGGTCTCCATATTTTCTTTTCCTTTTTTTTTCCTCCCCTGTTTTTAGAATGAGAAAGAATAGGATCATAGTCCAAAAACTTTGTAAATGCCAAATTTTAGCAACCACCAAGCAGATATGAAGGTGTCAAAGTCAAGCATTTTTGCGTTCATCAATGCGTTCAAGCATTTTTCTTTTTACGATTGGTATTAGCAGTTATGTTCAGAAGATGGGACATTTACCCTTCAGAGTGCAGACGGGACATTGAGGATGGCTCAGGTACAGAGCTCCTTTGAGGAAAGGTGCGGTGGCTGATTTCCAAAACTGAGCAACAAGCTCCTTTAAAGGAACCATGCTGTCCTAAATCTCCAATGGCTCCAGCTGTCACTCAGGAAAAGGGGCAGAAACGACCAGGGTTAAAAGCTTCTCCCTCCCTCCAACCAAAGTAATCAGGAGATGAGATGACAAACTCAAACTATGGCCCGTTGCCAGTCCCTTAAAAGGAAACCCAAAGCATTTAAGGAAGGTGCTGGGATTTGGCTGCTGCCCATCATTCCCCAACAGCAGTCGCTGCAATCCCAGGGCTGCAGGAACCGCTTGGCACTGCAGGGAAAGGGGAGTGTCGAGCTCTTCTTAGGTTGGGTGGATCTCACTGTCTATCAGTAATTTTGCTGGCTCTGTTCTTGTTCCAGCTTGCTCCGGTTCAGCAAGGCTTGTACAGAGCTACATTGTGGGAGAGTAAATAACCTTGCAATTCAGAGCTACTGCTTTTCTTCTGAGACGAGGCAAATGCTATTTTCCCCTCTGTTATTACGTGAATGTGGCTGAGTGCAGCTCCTGTGTGCACTGATAAGTCTTGTGACAGTTATCTGTCTGATAACAAGAGATTAGAACTAAGTCAAATGCGGGAACTTTTTGTTTGGGGTGTAATCAGATGCTTGATTTATGTCCATTAAATACGTGCTAGAACTTTGGGTTTCTGGACCAGATGCCCAGGTGTTTTGCCCAAGTCCTGCCCAGTAGCCCCCTGTATGACAGACACTCACATCATGTAACTGTTAATACCACCCCACAGGGTTACCTTACGATGGCTCGTGCAAGTGGCCAGGGGCTGAAGGGAAGAGCTGAATGAGTTGACCCACTCTGACATGCTTTTTCTAGGCTGGAACTSAGTCTTGCTTACAGGACCAAGGTATTTCCAACTGCTGCTTCCCTATGGAGTGGCATGAAAAAAAGGGGAGGGAAAGGAGTTCAGGAAGTCAAGCAAGTAATTATTTCACAGTAAAAGCCATTGTCAAGTGCTTAAAATATTATGCATAAGTGCTTGAAACTTAAAAGAAATCACTGGTACACGGTGCATGTTTTTGACTAAATCCGTGAGTTTTACACAAGATATAAACCTCAGGCACTCCAGGGATTAGAGAGGCTGACAGATTTAACTCTTGTAGCACAAAAGCTGTCACTGTAACTTGATACCAATAGCGATAAGACTGAAACCTGATCACAGTGTGACTAACTTTCACCCGTTAAAATGTGAATCCCGCTACTACCGCATATTCTAACTTTACACACCAATAGCTAAAGTGACAATTAATTTCTATGACATATCTGTTAAAAGAAGAGTCTCATATGAGGATAGGCTCTTGGTTTATTTATAGGCAAAACAGCTGTTTTCTGCATTCCAGGACACAGGCTGAGATCTACTCCAAGTCCCACATGTACCGAGCTGGGATACTCAGTTACCTTGTGTGGAAGTGAAATGCAGAGCCCTTTTCCCAAGCAGTAAGCGGAGTCTTTTGCACTTTAATAAAACCATGTTCTGTGAGAGGTATCAGCACAAAGTGATTTGCTTTAACCACAAGGAAAAGCCTTTTTGTTGTTGGTGGTGGTTTTTGGATGGGGGAGTGGGGAATGAGGAGTCACACAAGTCTGGAACTTGCCTCGGTTCATTCTGGAATATAAAAGTAGAGGGAGGCAGAGAGGGACCTATTACAGCTCCTTTCCTCTCAATTTCCCTCCTGAAATGCTCATTAAATATACAACAGGCAAGGGCAAATAACAGCCTCCAGCCAAATTAGCCCATTCATCTAGATAAGCTGAAGATGTGCTATTCATCTACACACCAATATCTGTGTAAAACRATTGTGTTCCCATCAACCCTGCACCTAGACGCACGCGGCGATTTGCCATCACTTCTGCTCGGGCACTTTCATCTCTCCTAGTGCATAATTGATAGGTGCAGCACTCCCACGGCACAGGGATGGCAGCCACTGGACCTGAAGTATAATTCACGACTCCATGAACACTGGGTTAATCATCTGGCATCACTGGGTGTCAGTATAAACAGGCAAAGACAGATACTACAGCACATACAAGTATCTCCTCTATAAAGATCTATAAATGCCAATGACTGGCTGCTTGCCCATTAGATACTTTTCCCCATTATCTTTATTTGTTCCTAATTCAGCAACAATATTCATAGCAAGCAGAAATTTCTTGCTCTATCTAAACATTTATTCTTATAGGGATTCACACTCTTAAGTCTTTATGTTCAGAGAGACTACACCTCTCCCTTTATATTTTCAAATTAATACTCTCTTAGAGGATTTTTTGCAAGTAAGGAAAAAGTTTGCAACCTATTTATGCAAGAACTTTCAGAATTTTGCATAACTTTATTGCATTTCTCTCTTCAAAGCCACTTCATTTTACACAGT